TTCGATGCAATTTTTATATCACCGTGATCACCATTCTTTTCTCTACAGGTTGACCGAAGCCGAATCACCAAAACACGAACCTCGCTGGAGAGCCGCCGTACCCGAGAGTGCCACCGCCGGTAAGCTCCGCTTTTCCGTGATTTTTGGCCCCCCGAGGGCCCTAGGGTTGTTTTCTGACAAGGACCAATGCGAGTGTGGCTGAATTCGGCCGAAAACGGCCGAAAACAGCCAACCCGAGGCGACTCGCCGCCGCCAGCGGCGGCGCCGTCGCCGGAGCACGGCGGAGCCGCCGTGCCGGAGTTGCGATTTGGTCCGAAAGGGGCCCTGGGCCTAATTTGGATTTTTTTTGGAACACGTGCAGGTACTGTTAGTGTGTTTCAGTTCCCCGGAAAAAATTCAGGGAAAATTAGGGACGGCCTGCAGGCGCACTGTGAATCGTATTCGGATCCCGAAAATAAGTAAGGACCCCTCACCCTATTTCCTATCACGGTATTAAAGTTCAAAATGATAAAACGGTATTTCTTGAATTAACGAATGTGTGAAATTGCTTAAGGTGACTAATGGAGCCCGAGTCTAGTGTGATTGGTGATTTACTGTTATTTAGCCTGTTTACAGCTTTAAATGCAAATGAGGTTTGATGTGTTCATTTTACAGATTTGTGTGCAAATACTGCGTTTTTATTAATCATGGGTTGAATGACTGAAAAACTGATACTGTATGTTGTCTGTTCGGCATGAATTACTGTTTTGCTTGTTTGTATGTGAATTGATGATGCTGACTGAGGAAAAGGAAAATGAAAGATTGTGTAACCTGATAATTGTATTATGAGGGTCAGCCTAACTAGATATCCTGGGAGATGGTGGACGGACCAGGTCCGTAGGGAACCCTACCGGGATTGTGGTCTCACATACCGGACGGGGTATGCAGATCTTATGGTTTTGGCACCCATATCGGACGGGGTATGGGGACGGCCCGTTTCACCCTCATACCGGACGGGATATTGAGGTTTATGGTTTTGGCGCCCATACCGGACGGGGTATGGGGACGGCCCGTTTCACCCTCATACCGGACGGGGTATTGAGGTTCATGGTTTTGGCGCCCATACCGGACAGGGTATGGGGACGGCCCTGGAAACTGATTATGAATGTTAAAGGTTAACGGGTAGCGGAACCCCTATGGACCCCCACGGATACTAGTAGGCTGGTAAATGAGAAAAAGATATGTTGTACAATGATTGAATTACAAGAGGCGTGATAAGTGTTATGTTTTACAGCTTATATTATTCTATGATTATGATAATGTTATTATTTTTCTTATATTGTTTTCATAAATTCCACCGAGGTAAGTGGATGGTGAAGGTTTTCATGTTAATAAACGAGTTTATTGTAAATTATGCTCCATTGGTTTTTTTGTGTTTTTCTACCCACCTTTACCTCCGTGACGGTGAGATATCGTGATGTTCTTACTGGGCTAGTGTAGCTCACTCCTTATTTAACCATTTCAGATCAGGAAGACATGGTTCCCGAGCCCGTTCCGCAGGAGGACGACGAAGGGGATGCCTATAGACTCTGTAGTCATACTCATAGTTTTATTTTCGAGTTTCTCTCTTAGTTAGTTTAATCTTTTATATTTTAAGTACGTTTTTGGTTTTTCGTGTAAGGGATGTTAACTGAAATTTTGATCTCGCTTCCGCATTTGATATATTTAAATACTCATTTTATTTTAATATTTCCCGGGGCCGTTACATAATTAATTCAGTTGTATATCAAATATATAA